TATCAGAGAAAATTAGTGGGAAGACTCAAGTATTGAGCAAAAATTCTGCTTGAATGTAATGTGCCCATTATTTTTAAAAAGACTTGAAATGTTGAACAAAATTTCAATAAAACTCATTAGCAGAAAGAGTAAAAACGTGTTTGACTCAGTCAAACATTTAAAGTTCAATGTTATAAATTCACAAGACTATTTTCTACTTCTTTGTGAACCTTTTTATAAACAAAATGTTTGATAGTGTGTGCAATGAACATACAAAAACATACACAGCAAAAGTTGTTATCTTAAAACACAGTTTTTCTCTCTTTTGCAATCAAAAATGCAAAGCACTTTATTTAGTGAGTGCACCAACATCATTGTAAACGGCTCCTGTCAATTTTAGTCAAAAGGAATTAAATTTTTCTGATTCTTTTGAAAATTCGAATAGGTAATGTAAATCAATTACACAACCCAAACTCAAAACTTGAAAAAGAAAACAAAAAAATTAAGTTATTATTGGTAAGAAAAGTTTTAAACTTTTGCTGTCATAGTCAAAATGTTATTAGCAAAAATGCACTGAATTTGTGACAAAATTTACTGGTCATAACTCATAACACCAATATGTGACTAGTTTCAGGAGACTGATCTCCCAGGCAGCACCTCCACATTGCTTTTAAGGTCAGGGGTATGATACCTATGACAAAAGTCAGTGGGACTGGACAATTTCTGGACACACCCATCATAAAAAAAAAAAAATACGTGGGGGAAAAGTACTAATGTAAAAGATCTTGTGTCAATTATCCCCCCCCTGGGCGGGGGGGGGACAAAAAAGTTGAAAATGACACAAGGGAAAGCAATGTGTTAAACGGAAACGTAGTTACCTCCCTTTAGCATAGTTTTATATATAAAATGTTCAATTTATTTTTATTTGGGATTTAGCACCAGGATGTTATTTTAAAACTGAAAAGTTTGAAGTTTTAAATAAATCATTTATTCTATTTATAAATATTTAAGTGTATTTACTGTGTTATTACAAACAAGCATAACACTTTCGCATTGTGTTCTGAAAAGTTCTCGGCTACAACCACTTCCAAAATAAAAAAAAATTAAAAATTAATAAAAAACATCATATTTTAAGTGGGGAAACCTCCTTTTGGTTGGATTAAAAACTTTTCAGTATCCTCCCATATATACAAGTTTTCACTTTAACAATTCCCAGCCATTGTCCTAAAGAAATTTGCTCCCAAGCTAGTTCCAGTTCTCTCCAAACTCTACAACTATAACCTTGCTGCTTCCTACTTTCCAATTTGTTGGAAGTCCCCCTCAGTAGTTTTTGTTTTTAAGAACTCTGGTGAACCTTTTGACCCCCCACTAACTATTGCCCTATTAGTCTCCTACTACTTTTCAGCAAAGCATTTAAGGCTTTAATAAATGTTGAGGTGGTTAAGCATCTTATCTTGCACAACCTACTTTCTGACAAACAATATGGCTTCTGTTTTGCCCAGTTTACTACTGACATGCTTACGGTCATCACTGAATATGTATATCAAGATCTTGATAATAACAGCAAAGCTTGAGTTGTTGCTCTAGATATCTCAGATTTGACAGGGTTTGACATGTTGGTCTTCTATGTAAGCTTTAGGGCTATGGTATTACTGGACAATTGTTTGATTTAATCCAATTATTCCTATCAAATCATGAAATGATAGTTGTTCTGAACAGGCTTAATTCCAGATCCTTTCACACAAACACGGGTGTCCCCCAAGTCTCTATCCTAGGTCCTACATAGATTTTGATCTTCATCAATGACCTTCCTGATGTCAACAGTTTCCAAGTAGGTATTTATGCAGATGACACTACCATTTACTACTGTTTCAATAGCAAATCTGTCACAGCCAACAAAGTTAACCTGGCCACTGCTCTTGAAAATCAGTGGTTAACTGGGGTCAGAAATGGCTTGTAAATTCTAATGCCTCCAAAATTAAACTGCTCTCATTTAGCCACCATAGAGAAATGATATGTCCCGGAAAGGGATATATTTGAATGAAGTAGGTAAGTGGTTTTGGCTACTATAACCAAGTAGAATACGGTAGCAGTAATCGACTGGTACACATCGTAGTCGCAGGTAGGAAGTGTAGATCAATGGCATAGTCCAATGGGCGTCGTTATAGACTTAGCTCTCAGACTAATGCTCTTTGTCGTACCTAAACGTCTGTCAGTATTTATGACGGACACCTGCCAATCATATTCTAGTGAGTGGGGAACACAGGGGTATGCATATTCCATTATATCGCCTCCCCCTGAGCTAAATTCTCCTGTGACTTTTAGGTTTAATACTTCCTCTTCTTAGGGTCTGGACATAAATGATTAACTTATTTTCTAAGCCTTTTTCGCCTCCATCCCCCTTTGCAGTGGTGACATTTGACACACTGGTACCTCTGGGCTTGAGGTCAGGGATGCCTCCATCGGTGAATGTTGACTCACTGGCACGGGAATATCAAAGGTATCATATAAGACTTCCATTGGAATCTCTTCGGTGTTTTCCGCGACCTCTGTAGTCTGTCTGGGTCTTAACTGATTCCAATGTCTTTTACAAGGGAATTTTTCTCCTTTTACATTGTATATGACTTGACCAATTCTTTTGGTTATTATACCTTCTTCTTAATACACTTTTCCAGCCCTAAAATTTTTAAACAAAATTTTATCTCCTTTAGTCATGTAGTTTTGTTTCTTCGCAGGACTAGGCAACAGCCAGTCGAAAACAGAGCATATTCTTCTTGCAAACATCAACTCTGCTGGCGATAATCCTAACACCATATTCAGGTTTGGCATGATTCTGTACACTGCCAAAAATTTCTGAATACTCCGTTCATTTGTGTCCACACCTTGACTTTTCTTCAAGGCTCGTTTAAATGTGTCCAGAAATTTTTCTGCCTGTCCATTTGATCTTGGATGATAAATGATCACGTGATCGATGGACAATGCTGTACAGAATTTCTTGAATTCACTTCCTGTAAACTGCATTCTGTTGTCACTGACTAAAGTTTTAGGGAGTCCGAAACGACTAAAAATTTCACTAAGGGCATTTATCGTATTTGTCACAGTTGGATGTCTGCACTTAATTTCTGGTCACTTAGTAAAACTGTCTACCACAATCAGGTAATACGATCCATTTATGGGTCCTGCATAATCAATATGCAGTCAAGTCCATGGGACATCTGTCTTTGGCCATGGTTTACTCTTTACAGGTGGATCCCTTGCTGCCAGTTGATATCCTTTACATTGTTTCACCACATTTTCTATGTCCTGGTCCATCCTCAGCCAATATGTGTATCCTTTTAGAATTTTTTTCTGTAAAGTACATGGCATTATAACTCTGTCTGCGTAAAGTAATACCTGATCACATATTGAAAAAGGTGACACACTCATTGCTTTTTTTGTTGTTTTCTCGTTCAACCAGACTTGCTTTTACATTTTCTTAATGAAATCATCATTTTTTCACTGCTTTTTTCACATCGTCGGTATTTATGACGGACACCAGCCAATCATATTCCAGTGAGGGGAAACACAGGTGTACGCATATTCCATTATATCAAGAAACTTCTTTGCCTGCCATCAGCATGGCTGATGCTAAACTCCTGGAAAGCATCTTACTGGGCCTTCTTGACCTTATGATTTCAACTGACATGAAGTGGAGCAACTACATTGAATTAATACCTGTATCTACTGCAATGAAAGTTGGTTCATGCTAGGTTTTTCTCATCAGAGTCCATCTTGCACATTTACAAATCTACCATTCGTTTGTGCATTGGATACTGTTGCCATATCTGGTCCAGTGCTCTTGCTATTGATCTCAAAGTTCTTGACAAAATCCAAAGAATGATCTGCAATGTAATCAATCCTGACTTGGCATCTCAACTTCGGTCACTTTCTCTCAGACGTCATGTGGCTTCCCTTTGTTTTTTTCTACAAGTATTTTTATGGCAACTGCTCTGATAAGCTTTTTTCCCCTGCACCCTAACTTCATGAATTTAAGTGTGCTACTAGATAGCCATCTAGGACCCACTCTTTTACTGTTGAAATAATTAAATGTAGCCACCACTTTGGCTCCAACAATTTCTTTTCTCACACTTCCAAATAGTAAAACTCCATTCAGTTTCCTTGCTTCCCTGAAAACTACAATCTTCAAAAACTTAAATGCAATGTCATTTACCATCTTCTGTCATCTTGAAACCCATTCATCTTTTATCTTTTCCTCATCCCCCCCCCTATATCCAGTCTTTTCTCTCACTTTCACTCCCTGTAACCCACTGCTTACTAGTGGCATTTTTGCCTTGCTTGGGATGAAAGGATTTTTAAAAAAAAAAACACAATTGTACAATTTGTTTTTATTAAGAGTTTTTTCTTTAGAATAAATAAATTACTGTTTGTCAGTCATTAAATAAAGAAAATAGCATAAATAATCATAAAGGTAATGTGGCATAATGACTACAAATGTGTATTCCAGGTAATTAGTGGTTCAAGTGACATCCACGAATGTCACATTTTCAAAATATGAGAGTTCAAATCTTCTTTTTATTTCTGATATTGCTCTATTTCAGAGCACAACAATAAAAAGGGAAAAGAAAGAAAAAAACTAATAAAATGTAATGTTTCATGTGAAAGATTAAAAAATAAATAGGTACAATTTATTAGTTTATTGAAAGTGTCAAATGTTTAAAATAAAGTCTCAATCTAAACAAATTAAAAATAAGTATGAACATACTTTTGTCAATGACATGTAATCCTCACTTAAATTTGATCAAGGATGATTTTTAACGAAAGAGAAAGTGTCCAAATAAAAAAATAGTGTTGTAGTAAAGGGAATAATTTTTAAGTGAACATGAGTAGATATTTATCTCATTTATACCTTTTAAGTTATATATTTAAAAAAATGCAATAAATATTAGCAAAATTTAATAAAGAAAAAAAAAATTTCTTAGGAAAAAGCAAATTTTGTAAAATATGATTATAAAATTACATACCAATGTTTCCCCACTGAGAACTTCCAGGAGGGACAAAAGATTACAACCATCAGTAAGGTCTGTAAACAGGTCATTCACTAAAGGCCTGTCAGCCTTGAAGAGAAAAAAAAAAAGAAATCATTAAGCATTCATATCAAGTGATCTTAAATGTGATATTAAAATATTTTAATAATACAAATAAACTGAACCGAGATATTTCTTCCAATATATTGTCATTTTTATTCCTTTAACCCAGAACCTTCTGTTGTATGATTCTTTGGAGAAGAGGCAGGAACAACTAGGTAACTTTCCAAGTGATATGCCATAAAAGGATATGAACAGATCATGATAGTTCAATTCAAGATGGCACCTGAATGAGTGGAAATTATTGGAGACTAACCAACCAAGCAGTTCCTGTACAGAAACTTTAACACAAAAAAAAATTAAAGGTTTGTTGCAGACACCATTACAATTATACACAATGTGGGTTCACTTCTAATAACAGGCCATACAAAATTTTGGGAACTGCAGAAGAAAGACCTGAACCCTCAAATTAACTGGGAATTTATAGGTTTTGCTCTGACACCAAATAGCTTTAAGGGTAGATGTAATTTATGTTTGGCAGAAAAAATTAAAATCATTAAATTTAAGAATCAAGATATTCTACTAAATAAAAGGAATGAATTGGTATCCAGGTGTCGTCATAGGAAAAAAACTCCAACTGACATAACATTATTTCAACCCCACACTCCAAGTGTTGCCACAAGAAAAAATTTCAACTAAAATAGTATCAGCCAAACCTAGCACTCATCTCTTTCATTTATATTTTTATATGTGATTTTTTTCTATTGTGACATCTTCCCTATATGTAAAATTTTTCTATATGTGAAATTGATTTTGAGATGTAGAATTTCCTTCTATATCTAAATATTTCTCTCCATGTTTTCTATAAGAGGAATTTTCTTCTTTATTTAATTGTTCTTATAATACTAAATTGTTTATATACATTGAATTTAAATTTAATCCTTTACAGAATTTTTAAATAATTAGTATAAGTATGATATGATTTAAATTATAAACTTAGTATTTGAAAATTTATTAAGACTATATTGATATAATGAGATTGGTTATATTTAAATGAAATTAATATATTAATAATTTACTTAAATTTTTTACTGCAACTTTTACTAAATAGTTAAAGATGTAGTATTGAATGGATTAATAAAGGGTGTTCCAATAACTTAGACTGACTTTGGGTGTGAGTTGGGTTTGTGTGTCTAATATTTTTTTCTTTTTCTTTCAGATTTAGCAGCTTGGGTCTTTGGCAGTTTCAACCATGGAGGATTAACAGTCAGACAACATGTTAAAGTTATTGAAACCTATTACAAAAATGGACGTTCAAACAGAAATGGATTTTGCACACTTCATGATTTTTTTGGTCAATATAATCGACCAACCAAGAGTGCAATTGGAAGCGATGTAATGTTGTTGTGGAGAGGTTCAATTACTGCATGCGATGACAAATAGAGGGGTCTGGATTTTCGGCCACATTCTCATGCACTGCAGCAATGTTTTCAGCTGAATGGCATAAATAAGCACACAGTGGTGTTTTCACATCTGCCACTGACCCAGTTTGTTTGAATTTACAAACAATTTTTCTAACTGCACTCTTGAAATTTTAACACGTTGTTTGATCATTGATCTTTCCGTGGTTGAAGTTGCCAGGGACTTGAGTTGTTGAATCTGGGAGAGGGGCAGAAAGATCATTGGATGCTTAAACTTTGTTCACAAGTCAGTCTGAGTTATTGGAACACCCTTTATTAACATTTTTCTTTTTAAAAAGTATTAATTTTAAATTCTTATTCACATTCTATAATTTTAAGCTCCTCTCTAAAATGTTTCATAGCTTTTTTTTTGTTCATTCTTCTTCCTTGCACAGGTGTTGATAGGTGACATTTATGTCAGTGTCCATTTTCAACTGTTGCATTTATTTGTACCACAACCACATTAGGTCCCTTAACTCTCTTTATCAATATAACTCTCTCCTCTATTATAGGCCAATTCTTACTCCCTCTCCTTTTATTCTTTCTTTTTTCCTTCTTTCCTTCCTTTGCCTTTCAAATTTCCTGTGAAGAAACAGTGTATTCATTTTAGTAAATGTATTTGCAGTGAAAAACTACTTTCTCATGAACAAAATGATCATCTGTATGAGGCAATTTGTTTGCATCTCATTAATTTTACCCCCCCCCCACACACACACCCATATATTATGAAATGGATTAAGTCTGACAATTATTTAATATATTTTCTGTTTATACATTATTTTAAATAGACACAATTTATTTAAGTAAATTCTCCATTTTTAAATAAACAGTATTAACTACATTTATTGGCTTGAATGTTTGAGAAATTTCATAGAAAATATATACTGCTCTGACAGAAATTGAACCTGTAACCCCCAAAGGGAACCATCATTTGATCTGATGTGCTATGATCTGAATGGTTAACAGCACATTCAGATCAAATGATGGTTCTACTACAAATTCCTTGCAAAACTATTGCTAGGGTTAAAAGCCAGGATTCCTTTCGTGCTACAATAGCAGTTTTAATGATCCTGTGAGCTCTCTCAACCAAACTTTTACACTGAGGGTGATAGGTTGTTGTGTGTAACCTACAAAACCCAATTAGTTTCAACAACTCAGAAAACAATTCACTTTCTAGTTGTTCTCCCTCAGTCTGTTATAACATGCAGAGAGACACCCCACCATGTGTGATCGCTGCATTTACAAAAGCTTCAGTGAAACTCTGTGTAGTTATTTTGGATATGGGTTGCACTTCTATCCAGCAAGTTGTATGATCAACACACATCATATCAATATGGACTTGTATAAGGATTATTCAGGCTTTTTACTGGTGGAAGTAATCCTACTAAGTCAATATGTAATGTATGAAATGTTGATAATGGTATTTCTAATGTTTGTATTGGTGATTTTGTTAGCTTGTATACTTTTGCTTGTTGGCAGGATATGCATGATACACAAAATTTAAAAAAATACTTTATCCCTGTTTGGTCAGAAATATCTAGGCTTAAACATTTTAAAAGATGATTTAATGCCGGGGGTGATATTGAATGCATGCTATTAAATGGATTCATGTAACTTAGATGGAACAAAAGGTCTAGGGTAATATGTGGATAATATCACACAATACAAACTGGTTAACATTTTTAAATTTGGAAAGGCTTGAATTTTATTATTAAATGCCTGTACATCATAGGCATCAATTTGTACAAACAAACATCTACTATGTTCTGGCTACACTTTACATGTTCAATATCTGAAACAGATTCTCTAAAAATAGTGAGTTGTCGCTACTATCTGATTTGGCTGGGTTTAGACTATAAAATACACCATATAATGGTTTAATATCAGTCAGAAGCAACACCTGGCAACCTTCTATGAGGTGACAAAAGTGTAGCACTGCCAAGTATACCACTAAAAAATCATGGTCAAAAAAGAGAATACCTGGTTTGTGTCTGTGTTAGCTTTTTAGAGAAATATCCAACATTTCCATTTACAACTGGGTGTAATGCAGCACCTACTGCATAATAACTACTGTCACTAATTAAAAGATAATTAATGAGATTGTGGGTGAGATAATGCAGATAATTTGTTAAGTTCTTTTATAACAGTATTGATAGTTTGTTTTTCAAATTCGTTCAATATAAATGAGCCTTTAGGGCATAATCTCATTCTTTCAGACAAAGGTAGAACTAATTCTTCATATTTCAATATTAGTTTTCAAAAAATCACACCATACCCAGGAACTTGCAGATTTAATACCCTCTGAACTAATGTGAAAGCCTAAGAAATTTAGGGAAGTTTCATTAAAAACGGATTCTGAAACAGAAATTTTTAAATTGATATCATGCATTTTTGTGAAAAATCTCATCACTGAAAATTAAAGTGCTATGATTATAAAAAAAAACACACAATGTCTCTGAAAATTTTGTCCATATATTGTTGTAATGTTGTTGCTGCATTTTTTAATCCAAATGACAATTTTACTTGTACAATCCAAAAGGAGATGTAATAACAGTTTTTGCATCTGGATGCATCTTGATTTAAGGTTGGCTGAAATCAAGTCTATTTTAAAAAAAATCACTGTTTGTTTACAAGTTTGGAAGAAAAAAAAATATTTGGGATAGAATATTGGTCACTCTTAGTTATACTATTAAGTGCATGATAATCCCCACAGTAATGGTATCTGCTGCTGTGCTTTGCAACCATATGAACTGGACTTAACCATTCACTTTTAGAAGGGAAGATAAATTAAGTAAGGGGGTGAAACACATGTAGAAGAAAAATATTTTTAACAAGATTTTCTAATAAAAAACATTTCTAAAATAAATTAATTCATTTGTGAATAAGTCCTGAAAATCTGACAATTATTTGATTTTTGCAAGAATTTCCAAATTAATGTGTATGTCACCACAAAAAAGACACTAAAATTTGTTATGCTAAAATATAGTACATCTGCTGATGCAAGAAAAAGAAGATTTTAATCAAAATTTCAAATGTTCTGAAAAGGAGTAAAAGATTTAATTAAATATCAAAGAAAATACTTTATCTTTTCTCTTAATAATAACACACATCAAGAGCACTTTCTTCAAAACTGAGAAAAAGCTGGTGTTATATAGCTCAGTTCCAGACCCATGCTTGACTATACCTGCCCAGTACCATTCATATGCAAATTTTGTCAGCACCACCTACTTAGAGTAGGTGGCGCTGACAAATTTGCATATGAAAATGGCATGGCATCTTTTCTAGTGTAGAATTACATACATACATTGATATCTTTATTATAACAGTGAGAAATAGTTTGTAAGAAAAGTTAATGAAATAAAACAGCTGAAATATATTTATTATTAAACATATACTGTAAATTATTCAACTAAAAGGCTAATAATTGATTTTAAACTCTACTAAAAAGAAATTGATTGATAACCCAAAAAGTTAACTATCAACATGAGCAAGCTCCAAAACATGTTCAACGAGTTGTACAATTATAGAAAATTAAAAATTAAAATTTATGACAGTTAATGTTGGACAAGC